AAAGACATTTCATCCCAGCGCTGCATGTCCTGAGGCGGTAACATTATCAATTACCCCTCACGCTCCCACCATGGACTGTTCTCCCAGCAGATTCCAAAACATCTTGTTCCCACCGCCATCAGACAGCTAAATGTTGAAAAAACTCTAAATCATGTCACAGACTCTGCATCAAACTGACCATATCAATGCGTTTCTTTGTTTTTTTTGCTCACAGTGTTTACATTTGATCACTGCTGAACTTTAAGAAATGGAAAAGTCATGAGAGCTGTAGAAAAAGAACGTTTTCTATGCACTCTGTGTATACAAAATGACAATAAAGTTTCTCTAAGTCTAAAGTTTAGGTCTAATGCTATGTTGAGACCGCAAGTTTAGATATAAAATCAATTGTTGACGTGCATCAAGGCGCAGCAAAGGGTCCTGCAGCATGTTTTGAGCAGCGCATTTTGAGCAGCTGAAGCAGTGCGTTATGAACTTCTGAGCATCTGATGTGCTGCAAAAGAAGCAGCTGCTAGAGTTGGACAAAATTTAACTTTTGCTGCTCAACGCGCCACACAGCCAATCAGAGAAGCTGATCTGGGGGTTGGCAGGGAGACAGACACAGCGCTGCTGATGCAGAGCACTAGGATCACTGCCCTGAAACAGTTTATAAACGCCTAAATCAACCTAAAATGACGAAACCTGTCAGCAAAATATGTTCCATTTTATTATTCTGGTGCCTGCGGTTTGGATTACGTCTGTGAAAAACGCTAAAATCTACTTTCAGCCGCCGTGAACAGTAGTGGAGCCCCGCAAAGAGGCGGCTGGAGGCTGCTGAGCCTTGTTTTTGTTTAGAAAACATGGAAATTGAAATGGACCCCTTTGGATTGACTACTGTATAAAGCCTGGAACTCAACACTCTTTCTGACATTTTGAAGTGAAAAAGCTTCCTGGATGGGAAGCGAAACGTCTTCAAACTTGGAAACAATGTCCGGTGGATTGTTTCTTTAAAAACTTTTTTGGAATGACTATGACATGGATGACTGAGAATCTTCACCAGGAAATTAATTTGCAATTCAGGACTTAACTATTACAACAGAAATAAATAGAAAAAGAGTCCTCAATTTCATTAATACAAAATTTTCTTTTTTAGAAATAATAATAAATAATCAGTAACAATGAAATGGGTTTATTCAAATGTAAGAGTAGAGAAAATGAAAAATAAATTTGGATATAAAACAAATAACTGGGTAAGTGGGAAGGAAAGATTTGATGAAATTGTGGTTGGCTGTCCTCAGAGGCGGCCTGACATGCAGGGATCATATCAACTCTGTCACAAGACAGTCTTCACATTAAATCAACTTAAAAGGATGTCCCATTGGGGGTGATTGAATCAGCTCTCTGTGACAGTAGGCCACATCAGCACTTAGTCTGTAGTTTCCTATCTCCAGATAACAATGACAGATAAACATTTTCCCTTAAAATTGAATCAAAAACTCCATTTTGGTTTGAGGTTTATGAAAAAAAAAACATCTAGACTTGTTGTAAAGACTAGCATTGATGGCAAATTATCAAACAGTGTGACTAAAGAGCTCAAAGTTACATCCTACTTGATGATAATATTTGTTAGAATCAAATAACCCCATTTATTTGCAGGAAAATTGGGAAGAAAGGTCCCCTTAAGATCATTAATAGAACAATTCTGCAGATACATTTTATACCAATGATTGTGATTATTTTACGACACTGGCTTGAAATGCACATAATGCACAGTCATAAGAAAAAAGCTCTTATAAAAAGTGAAGAGGAGACTTAAAAAATGTAAGAAAAAAAAAAACATATACAAGACAACATACATATACACTGGAAAAACAATCTAGAAATAAGTAAAAATTTATTAAATTAAGTGTATTCACCTTTAATCTGGTAAAGGAGATAGTTTGCCAATGGAACGAATATTTTTACTCTTGAAATAAGATAATTAGAAAATATGCACTTAAAATAAGACAATGCAATTGTGTTTTCTTATTTTAAGTCTAAGTTGTCTCGTTCCATTGGCAAAATATCCCTTTTACCTCCTCAATCCAGGAACAAATGCACTTATTTTAAGAAAAAATGACATATCTAGATTTTGATATTTTTCAGTGTACATGTATAGTTACACAAAGCTGAAATGGTATATGTTCAAGCCTGAGGTTATGGGGTGCCAAATGTTAAAAGCTACCAAAAATTATTAGTATTATTTTTTTAGATTTAAGACAAATAATTAATATTTATATTTTCGATATATATGTTGGTTTGAAATATAGATTTAGATTTCAATTTCAAATTCAAGAAAATAAGATATATTTGCATCTAAAATATAGATTTTATATATATTTAGATTTGGTTTTAATATTTAACAATAAAATATATATTAGATTTCCAGCTATATATTTAAGCTATAGATCTCAAATCTAACTTTTAGATTTAAAATTTATATTTACAGAATTTTATTTACAGGACTACGTTACAAAACTAAAAGTTAAAAGCTTCTTATTTTCAACATCGTCATATGACATTGTCATATTACATATGTAGCTTTAAGATTAAGATATAAGATTGAAGATATATATTTAGATTAAGATTTTATTTGTATATAGATGCTGGAGATCGGCCTGTTTTCCAGTGTGGTCCTGTTTCTCTGACCGTGTCTGAGTGGATGTGCTCTCCTCATCCTCTGACATGGGAGCTGGCTCGGAGCTCGTCTGCCTGGCTGTGTGTTTCCTGGATGGAGCCGCCTTTTACAGCTGCTTTTTGTGTCTCTGCTTCTGTCTCCTTGAACCCCAGTCGGCCTCAGCAGATGGCCGCTCACACTAAGCCTGGTTCTGCTGGAGGTTTTTTTCCTGTTAAAAGGGAGTTTTTCCTCTCCACTGTCGCTACAAGCATGCTTAGTGTGAGGGATTGTATTTGAGTCAATGAGTCGATGCAATCAACTGGTTTTCCTTAGATAGAAAACTTTTAATCAATTTGACTGTATGATCTGGTTGAACTGTAAACTGCCTTGAGATGACATGTGTTGTGAATTTGGCGCTATATAAATAAACTGAATTGAATTGAATTGAATTTGTAACATATGTGTAGTTTTAATTTTAACATTTAGATTCAGGAGATATTTAACTTTAAAATTTAGATATAAGCTATAGTTTCAGATAGAGCCTGAAGATTTGGATATAAATGTAAGATTTAGATATAAATATAGGATTCTATATTTATATCTATAGATTTAAGATTTATATTTATCTTTTGCCACAAAATGTTAGAATAGAATGTAAAATAGATTTTTACATTTATTCCCCATGGAAGGTTCTTTTGATTTTCAGCAGGGATTTTGTGTCAAAAACTGGAAAACTGGGATAATGACCAAAAGTTTTATAAACTGAATATAATTTATAATTAATCTTCTAATATTCTATACTAATATAGATTCTGTGAAACAGTCTCTCTGGATTATAAAGGATTCTGATTTCCAGAGATGGCAAAAGTACTCATTTTCCGTACTTGAGTAAAAGTACAGATACTTGTGTTAAAAAATACTCTGGTAAAAGTGGAAGTACTGATTAAACTTCTTTACTCAAGTGAAAGTAACAAAGTACAGGCTTGTAAATTTACTTAAAGTATAAAAGTAAAAGTAGAAACCACTTTTTTCATGCCGTTGCCTACATTTTAAACGGATGTCTGCCAATAGGACTAGATCTCTGTTGTGTTTATTTTCAATCATCTCGTCGTCCATGCTACTAACGCCACCGCCACCAAGCTGCAATGATTTGCCGCGAATAAATACCGCCGAATCTGTCGAGTTCATCTTGTAGTGGTGCGTCAAATGCAACGTAGATTCCCATCCAATTAGACTGAATTTGGTATTGATGACGTGAAAAATAATAACGGTAACTCCATTGAAATGATTCAAAACTAAAGTAACGAGCCAATTTTTTTTAAGATGTAAGGAGTAGAAAGTACAGATATTTGTGCAAAAATGTAAGGAGTAGAAGTAAAAAGTCGCCATAAAAATAAGTAGTAAAGTACAGTAAAAATATCAGAAAAATCTACTTGAGTACAGTAACAAAGTATTTGTACTTCGTTACTTCCCATCTCTGCTGATTTCTATAGACTGCGATGGACTTGCAACCTCTCCAGGGTGTACCCCGCCTCTCGCCCATTGACAGCTGCAGATAGGCACCAGCACCCCTTGCGACCCCAATTGGGACAAGTCTGTCAGATAATGGATGGATGATTTCTATTGAAATAGAAAGCAAAAAATGTGCAAAAATAACCCATAGGATCAAAACAAACACAACATCTCTGCTAAATTCAATTCAGTTTATTTCTATAGTGCCATTCACAACACATGTCATCACAAGGTACTTTACAGTTCAACCAGATCATCCAGTTAAATTTATTCAGAGTTTTCTATCTAAGCAAAACCAGTTGATTGCCTCGACTAATTGACTCAAATACAATCCCTAAGTGGAGAGGAAAAACTCCCTTTTAACAGGAAGGAACCTCCAGCATAACCAGGCTCAGTGTGAGTGGCCATCTGCTGAGGCTGACTGGGGCTCAAGAAGACAGAAGCAGAGATAGAAAAGAAAACATAGAGAGGAAACCAGCATGAAAAGGGATGGGAAGAGATTGAATAAAGGTTGGACAAATAATGTATGTCTATTCTATAAAAATGTCTGTATCTGTATAATGGGTCTGTTTTATGTGTTCTCTTCTCAATTCAGCCTGTCTCTAACTAGGGCCCCAGATTTCCTAAACCCGCCCCTGGTTGGAGGTGCTCTGGTCTGTCTTTTCTTGAAGAGCAGATGGAGGTTGCTGAATTCACAGGTTAATAAAAAACGAGCGATTCCCCCAACACTTTCTGAATGTGGCCCAAATTGAGTGTTTCAGCCAATCAGGATGGAAGCAGCTGCGCCCAGGTAGCCGCAGCCAATGGGTGCGCAGGGGGGCGGGGCGAGCAGCGAAGAGGCGGTCTGCGGAGCCGCAGCCACAGCACACCTTCAGATGGAGATGAAGTAACAGAGGCGGCAGAGCGACACTAGGACGAAAGAACCGGACGGTTGTTTTTCTCCTCCTCCTCAGCTTAGTGGGGGAAACAGGTGACCGAACCGGAGCCCAGCACCCCCCCTCTCCCTCCCTACCGCGCGCACCTTACTCCTCCATCTACATGCATCTGGAGCTGAGCCTCTGAAGCCGACGCACACCAACATGGATAATGCACACACTAAGTCTGCGAGCGAAGTTTTAGAGCACTTCGGCGTGAACGAAAACACTGGACTGACTCCGGATCAGGTCAAAGTCAATCTGGAAAGATATGGACCGAACGGTGAGTAGTTTTTATTTATTTTATGCTTAAATTAAAGCAGCTTTCACTCCGACTCGACACGTTTCATCTGCCAGGAAATCCCTCTGCTGGCGTCATATGTTCAACCTTCAGATAAACCTCTGAAACACAGTGTAGTGAAAGCGTCCAGCATGCACTGGTGAAGTTGAAACATGTGGATCTCCTGCGGTGTTTGATTTAACCTGATAAACCAATAGGGACGCATCACCTCAGGTCTGCACAGTCACAGCCCTCCTCCTCCTCCTCCTCCTCCTGGATGAAGGGCCACCAGCGGCTAGAGAGCAGGCGGGGATCAGGAAGTTCAGAGCAGGCGGCCTCAGGCTACCTGGCTGCATGACTGAAAGGAATCAGATCAGATGATGAAACAGAAGAGCCCGAACAACCTGTTTTCACTTTCAATAGTTTCTCTGCACATGTTCCCAGCTCACATTGCACCACACAGATGGGGAGAAATAGATGCCTGGCTGCAGACTGTCTACTTCCAGGTCCTGCAAAGAAAAGCTCAAAGATATGCAGAGAAAAAAAGTTTTTTACAGGTTCAATGGATGATATTTATTCAGCTCCCAGCTGCCTCCACCCTAACCCTCATCCACCTCTACACCATGCTGCTATTTGATGAGCTTTTTCAGCTCCAACCTGACATCAGCACACCTTTCTCTCCTGGCCTTGTCATTTGCATTTGTGGCCAAGCTGTGGAGCAGAGTGGCACATTGTATGGCCTGAACACTAGCCCTTTTGTTGCAAGCCAGCCTCTCTAACCCAGGGGCTTTTGATGACTTCATGGAAAAAAAGCAACGTCTTGCCATAGATAACATCTCTTTCGCTTTGAGCTGTGAACTTCCTGCCTCAGCGATCACTAGAGGAAAGGAATACCCCTCTATTCACCTCCCAGGGCTTAGACTTTCAGGGCATGCGTGCTGCTTTTTGGAGAATCAGAATGGGCTTAAAACAAACGGCAGGGCGTCTCAGGTTTGATTTGTAGTTTTGGGAGTTAATACATTTGCCTCCATCTTCTCTGCTGGCCAACCACAGGCTTTTGCAGATGAAACGAAAGCTACTACTTTATTTTAAGGGAGCATCTGTGCAGAGCAGTTTGCAGGGATGGGAGGTGGAGGGAATTGCTTCCTAAGGTTATTAGGAGCTTATTATAAACAAAATCATTGAAAATGATCCAGTTTGACAGTGTGATGGTACAGTATTTGCGTAAAAACAAGGTGGGGTTAATGCAAGTGACAGGTAGGCACTCCTTTAAGGGCTGAACATACCTCTACATGCCATGGAACTTTGGACATGGAGTTTTTTATTTAACGTGAACTAGTTAAAATAATCGGTAGAAAGGACTCTGATTTATAAATTTTATTCAAATGGGGGTCCTGTTAAAAGCTTCTTAGCAGTCACTATCCTACCAGAAATATGTTTGCATAACTGAGCTGTAAAGAGTTTTCATGAGGTTGAAGCTAACAAATAAATAATTAACTTCAGTCGCAAAAGTTCTTTAGTTATTTTTGAAAATCAAGGTTTTATGGTATCAAGGTATAATGAGTACAGCTTTGTTTAGTCTGAATTTAAAAAGATGGGGAAATAATGACATGCTTGCCTCATGAGGCGATACTCTGAGTTATCTGGATGGTTATAAGCCCCATTCCGACCTTTTGAAGCCGTGCCGAGAGCGGCTCGAGCGCGGTAACCAAGGTAACTGTTGTGTGTAAATAGCACGCAAAACTGAACCGGACCGCGCTAAACTGGTACTATGTAGTTCAACAGTAGGGATTGGCGTGGTCCAGTTCTGGATTAGTTCTCAGATAAAGAGTGCATGAGTCAAATCATGAAATTTCAGACACTCATAAAAATACTGCTGCCCTACATTGCCACACGATTGCCAGAGATGATTCTGCTTAGCGGTGTGATGAACCTCAACGTCTGTCGTTGTTTCCTGTGTCTTTAAGCCCTGATTAGTCTATCGTTTGTCGTATCCACGTCCCAAAAGCCGACTCTTGTCAAGTAAATTCACCAAAGGCTGCCTTCTTCACCTGACTCTCCGAAAACAACGAAATATCCCAATTATAACTAAATTTCCTGAATGTTACACCATTTTGATTTGCTTGTTTACCGCTAGAGAGCAGTAGCGCCGTAGATCGTTACTGGGAGGCGAGGAACCGTGCGAGCGAACCAAACAAATGTGATCTGCTTTGCTATAATAGCTACAGCTACGACCATTAGCAGAACATAACGTCAAATTAATATGAAATCTGAAGACTGTAAATGACTATTTAAAGTGGCAGAGAGGCATCTTTGAGTTCTAGTAACATCGTTCTAATATATCTTAAGAAATGTTGTCACCCCATTGGTGACAAATAGTCTTCATTACAAAGTGGAGCCCTTTGGTAGCACAAGAGTGGCCAATGATTGGCTAACTGGGGCATGGCCACCCCTGAAACCCCCTAGCTCTGCCCCTGGTTTGGGCATTGCTTGATTGTTTTTAATTGATCAGTTTAGCTAAACTTATAGGCAACTGAACCATTCAACGTGATCTTACTAATATTGCAGCTACGATTTTCCCTTTATCTGGTTTTTCATCTTCTAGCTCTCTCCCCTAAAATTTGCCTCATTTATGCTGAAGGTAAAGTGAAGGTTGAATGGAGGTGTTACTGGCTTCCCCTCTGTGGGGTTTTCCTCTGCTAGAGTGCAGATCGTAGCATCGTTTCCATTTCTGTTAGTTTATTTTTTGGGTCTACCCTTTTCCCTTCATTCAAGATGATTCTCTATGCCAAGCTCTTAATTTTAAAAAGGGGTTTTGATGGCATTGCTTTGTGTCTGCATATCAATGCTTTTCTTTGTTCTGACAGTGATACATTTCTGCTCTCACCTTCATTTATTCAAAGGCATTTACTTAATTCTTCTGTCGGCGTACCAGCGCCTCATTTTACCAGACGCTTTATCACCTTCACTGAGAAATGGCTGCTTCTGATTGTTGTAGAGTTGGAAGTCAGCCTCTCTCACTCTGTTTCTTTGCATGTTGATGCAGGGGGGAGTTTTTTTGGGTGGGTGATTGTGTCCTGTGCACCCACAGCCTTTATTTCTACAATGTGCTGTGTTAATTTTTAGAACAAGAGGCTCCCTGCGAGAAATAAACTTTACTTTTTCAAAGATAGTCGTTTAATTATACACGAATGAAGGAATTCCCTAATCCAATATTCCTGCCTCCTGGCTTTTGCACTAGTGTTGATTGTTTAACATTATTGACAACATTTTTTAACCTCTGAACTTTGGTGTAAAGCTCTAAAGATTTTAGACTGTGTATATTCCACAGGAGCTTCCCACAGGATGACCGACCGCTTATGCAACACAAGCTGAGGCTTATTTCAGGAATTCCAGAATAAGAGATAAGGCTAGGTTTGACTTAGCATGATGAGTGTATCAAGGCTTCATGTGTTCCACAGGGACTAAAGCCGGGTGTACACTGTCGTTGCAGTACACTGTCAGTCGTTGCATGCAGCTACAGCTCCCACTATACGACTAAACTGTAGAGTTTAGTCGTATAGTGTGAGCTCACAGCTCACGATGTATGTGCAGCATGACGCTCTTTTGCAATTTACCTGCTCACAATGCATGACTAAAAACCACGTGGGACTCAGCTCCACAGTGAGTACGACCTGCTCTGCCTCGTCTATCCGGAAGCCAAACAAATAGAATATATAATAGAAGGGGAATATTAAGCAAACTAGAGTGAAACGCGCTTCCTTGGCAATTTATGCAATTTTGTGCTGAAAGCCCTGAAAAGAAAAGGCGACGTCGTATTTGGAAAAAGGACTTGGCTGAGCAAACGTGGCTACTAGGGTCTTCCAGTTTTACAGACAAAACTGTGTTTCACTCATTGCATCCCTGCCATGCTGCTGTGTTTAAGGGAGAATCCTTGATTGCGCACTGAGCGATTCGCCGTTTGATTTTCTCTCGACCTCAAGTTCCTGATCCTGTTCCTGAGAGGCTGATTGCCCCTCGAAACCCCCTGTACACTACACGACTCACGATCAGGCTGAAAGTCTGGCCAATCGAAAGATTCTCGCACAACTGGAAAATCACCCCAAAAATCGCACACTGTACGCCCGGCTTAAGGCCCTCCTTCTCCCCATGCAGTAAGACATTGCTTGTACACTTCAGTGACATGTTCCACTACGTCATGCATAAACACAACGTGAGTCACAACCTTCGGTGTGCTTTTTGTACCGAATTTTTGTACATGTTTGTAAATGACAGTTGTTGTGCCAAGGTAGTTATCCCTGCCATAATTTGTATCCCCTCACCGGGAGCATGCACAGATTAGGAGCTAATCGGGTTCACTCCGCATCCATGTGTTTTTTTTTTTTTAAATCAATATCACTAGCGATATTCTGCTATAACATGTGAAGTGAAGAATAAAATAATGCTCCCGGCGAGGGGATATACATTTTGGCATGGATAACTACCATTGCACGACACAGGCAATGTATCACCGCCATCTACTGGGCTGGGGTGTAATTTTGAAACTAGTGGTTTCCCATTTCTTAGGAAGAAAATTTTCACTTGCACTTCCCTCATTGAGTGGACTTCTCCGTTGAGGAAACTCACTGGAGTGTTCTCAGAGCCCAGTGAGAGGAATCGGACTGGGCCTAAGTCACAAGTAATCAAACAAAATGATGTCTGCAAGTTTTAAAAAAGTCGATCACAGATTTACTGGTCAAGGTAACTATAGCGGATTGACTGAATTCCTAAATAGACCAAAATAAACATATCCTGGCCACTTATATTAACAGAAAATATCACAATTAGAGGAGTTCCTTGTGTGATGTATAGATCTTGAAATGTATAGATCTATATGACGTCCTAGTCCAAGTACTAAGTCCCTCTGTGGTAAAGGGGATTAAGTCCTTGGACTTAATGTGGTAGACTACGGTGCCTCATGAATGGAAGATATGATTTATAATCTAAGAATTCACCCCAGCAGA